ACTAAGAACCAATCTGAATGCTCCAGTTTTCACCCAGTTTTTGCTTCCTGTTGACCCATGCTGAATGCTTGCCTCAAACAGGCTAAGCAGGGTTTGTGTTTGTGTTTAAAGCAGTGCCTCAGGTGTGTTCACACTTTATTGTGACAGTACATGTGGAGCTAGCCTCACTGCCTTGAAATATAGCTCATTATTACTGTCTGTATGTGTGTGTAGTGGGTGTGTGTATTACCATATATATTTCCAACCAACACAATGGTGTACTGTATCCCTCTGCGGAGCAAGTTGTCCTATATAAAGCAATCACACAGCCTAATTTTCTAATTTATTACTGTTACATCTCCATACATGTACACATGGGAGGCTTTTTTGCAAGTGTGAATGTAATAGTAGGCTGGGCGGTTCAGATGATTTTGTTTTTCTTTTTATTGTTTTTCTCCATCACTAACTGGATTCATTTTTTTTTGTTTTACATAGAAATCTTTTACAGCATGTCCATAGATAACACTGAGTCTTTCCCGATCTTCCAGTATGAGCTTCTAAGGTTTGATGGCTTGTTTGTGTTTAAGATTAATACTCAATCAATCTATTTAAACTTTCTGCTGGGATTAAGGTAAAGGATTGGAGAAAAACTGCTGCAACATCAGAGCAAATTCCCATGTGTCCTCCTCCTTAAGACTGGGACAAAGCCCTTAATCTTTTAGTCACACAACACTGCAAAGAATTAACTTTACAATTGTTCTTTGGGCAATTTTTTTTTTAATTTGTCTCTCACATAATAAAAGTTAGTTCATGTTTCTTGAATTCAATCTGTAAAAAATAATATCAAATATAACAGTTTAACTCTTAAAATACTATTTAACGCCATCATTGGATTTACTGAGAACTACAGTATTATTTGAAATGAGAAGTTATTGAACGATGGATTTCTAACATCCTATGTGATGCCCTTTTTAATTTTTTTATTCAAAAATGAACCATTCGAAATTTTGTGGCCATTTTTTGATCCTGTTTTTGCATACTTTGACCTGCTAAGGCTGAGTGTAAGTGATTGCAAGTATAATATGAAGGTATCAGAATATAATTTAGAATTTTTTTAGCAATTGAAAATCAAGAGTACGGACTAGCATTAACAATAGAAATGTCCAAACAGTGGCTAACATTTTTAAATGGAGCATTATCCATGATAGAGTTAAAATCACCCAAAGATAAAATGGAGCCACTTGCCTATAGTGCCTTCAGCCTTCGTAATATGTGACAAAAATCTCTCTCTGTCTTTTCTTTTTTCAGTGAACAGGTCTATCCCCTACAGAATGTGGTAGAAAATAAATTTTTATGTAAAGTAGCTATTTACTGTACATCATGACACTTCCTATCATTTAAACCCTATATACCTGGAAAAACCCTAATACTGAATTTTCTCCCATCTATAATATTAAGCCTTAACCTTACAGCCAATTTATTCACATTGACTTCCAAGACCTTTAGATATATTTTTAGGTCTGATTCATTGTTTGCATATACAGGAAATATTTTGTCATCAATAATGTCTACAGTATTGAAATTATCTTGACTTTTAAGAGAGGAGAGATCCAAGCTCAAAGAAAGCAAAGTACTGAGTATCTGTCTTTAACTGTGTCCCACAGGGTACAACATACATTTATATGTCATGTATAAAAGGTACATTATCTTATGCAACAAGGCTTGAGTTTATTCTATCTGCATACCTAGTTTCAGTTCATAACAGGGACTATTTCTGGCTAATAACAGCTATTGTGCTTCCAGTTATTCTAACATATCCTTACACTACTGCTGTAAACAGAGTTTACAATAGGCAGAGTATTACCTACCATAGAACAACTGTTCATCATAATAGTGTTTTTGCTGCGAAACAGAACTTTTTCTTATATATTCTTAAACATTTTGAATATATTTCTGGTGTTTTTTAAACCACTTATGCTTAACAACTGCGGGATATAAGCTTTCTACTCTGTTCATGTACTGTGTAGTGTTATTGTTTTCTGTTCAAATGTATAATCTTGTCACAAGGAGCCGCAGCCACCTTGGAGCTCATGCAAAAAGTAGGTGAGGAGAAATCTTGACAGTTATGACTGGAAAAAAAAACAATCTGATGTATGAAACATGAACACCTTGGCTTTATACATCTTAATTGTCTTTAAAGGAATATATACTTTAATCCTGTTTTCAAATAACCATGGCAACAATGTTCAGAAGGAAAAAACTGAGATTAGTTAAGCTAATTGTGAAGTTCAGACATATAAGGAAATCTTATTTAGCACTTTTTCCTCTGCTATGAATATTAAAATGAAAAATACAGAGTGAGCACTGTCCTTTTCCAAAATCTTCTTTGTATATTGTCATGTTACAACTACAGTTTGGTTTTGGAATACGTGAATACGATGTAAATAAAAAATAAGCTCTCTTTATCAAAGTCAGATTTTTTAAATGGCATTATGTGCAGGGGTGTAGGGGATCTCTTTCATTCGATTATGGAAAACATAGTTAACTTTTTCTCTCTACCATTTCTTCTCTAAATGAAGGAACACTAAAGGTATAGTGGAGGATGTTCTTTTTCTCGGTGGATCATCAAAATAAGTGGTCCTTCTAATTGTCAAACATTCTGGTGATATGTTTACATAAGGCCGTTTGTTTTACCATAGTCCATCTTAAAAGATACCTTTAGATCTTTACAAAACAATTTTTTAGCTTTTTCTATCTAAAATATTGACATTCATCTAAGTGCTGCTTTAAGGAAATTGGGCATTTCTAGATTTGCTGGGCTGGTAGAGAATTGCACTTGTATTGATTAAAAAATGTATCCATTAAATTAAAAACTCAATAAAATGCCTCCAACTTTGGGGTGGCAATTTTACAAAACATATAAAGGTTTAAAGTAGTATACTTTCTAAAGACACCTTTAACCTTAAGATAAATTTAAATTTATTTATCTCAAAATGGTGAAATTAACTCTCTCCTTTTAACCCATCCCTTATTGGGAGCAGTGGGCTGCCACAGCTCAAAATAACCAATTAATTGCTTTGGTTGCAACTCAAAATAAATGGTGCAACGATTTACCTGCTATAAAATAGATGGGATTTAAATTGAAAATATCAGCAATCTATAGTTTTGTTTGTAATGCTTTTTGTAATGCTTATAATGTTTTTTGCACACAATTTATCTCACCCATTTCTACGATGTAAGCACTTTTTGTTTGACATGAGACTGAAGATAAACATGAAATATTAAATATAACTTTGAGCCTTCAGCCCCTGCTTTGGAAACATTCCCAATAGGGTTGCAGGGCTTGCTTGTATCACTTGTATAATTTACATATAATGGATCTCAGAGTGAGGAGATTTTAGGCACTTTTCTTTTAGCTGCTCTGAATACACAATCTAAGACAGAGAAACACACAGGCATAGATTAAATTTTTAACTAGTTGCTCTAATAAATGATGAATGCATTTGTTTGGATACAGCCCGATGCCTTGGCATTAGCTTTGTGAAGCCTATAATTTTTCGTCTTGTGTTTGGAATAGAATAGAAATATCCTCTCATGAATCGCTTTTAAGACAGTTTTTTTTAACAATGCATCTTTTTAAAACTGTCTACATCCGACTGAAATCTGCATTTTGAAGAGTGCATCTCTAGAATCTATAATGGCAGCCTGCATTCCTAGAGCTTTTTATTTAAACTAACAGCTATGGGCCGGATCTATCAAAGGTTTGCGTGTGTTAAAACGTGAGCTATTTCACTGCGCACGCTAAAAAATGTACAAACTGATCTATCAACAGCGTGCTAAAAGCATTTGGTCTTTAAAACGTGCTAAATAGCGCCTCTGATCCATTTAGTACTTTTTCTGCAATGAATATGCAATATGGGGCGTTTACACGCTAAAGTGCGTCTTGTGGGAGGAGAACATGTAAATATATTAATTTAGCACTCGCAAAGGGATTTATCAAACTTGAACGCAATTTTGCTAACGGTATCTGACTCTATATTTAACACGTTTCAAAAGAAGGTGCAAATGGTCTGTATGCGTAATTGCGCACACATGGCAGCGGTTATTGTCGCAAGAAGGAGACATGGAAATAAAGCAAGGAGACGCAGAGAACGCATTTTTTCACTCCGTGTGAATATTTTTGCAATGAACGAGGAAACGATCATCAAACCATTTCGTTTATCCAGCATTGCCATTTTGGAGCTGTTGGGGGAACTCCGAATGGATTTGGAGCCAGCCACAAGGAGGACCCACGCAATACCAGATATCACAAAACTCCTTGCAACATTGCACTTTTTTGCATCTGGGTCATTCCAGCGTACGGTTGCAGCGTGAGCTGGGATCTCCCAATCTCGTTTTTTCAAAAGTGCTGTCCGACGGGGTCGGGGTTCTCCCCCTGCGCCTGTGGAGCAACGTGCCAAATGCTGCGGGGATCTCATCCACAGTCACAGGCCAATACAAAACACCGGTTTTTTTTTTTGGTTTTTTTTTTTACTGCAGCACATACCACCTTAGGGAATAAAGGTTGCCAATTTATAAATATATATATATATATTTACTTATTTTTTTTTTTTAGTTGGGGGTCACTGTAAGATTTAAATTTCTTAATGCACTAGTCTGTACAGACTACAAACTACTTTGCCGCAAACCACAAAACGCGCAAAACCATCATTTAAATAGGGCGTCTCCAACAGTTTTGCACCTTCCACCAGTTACGCAATCACTCTTGTTAAATCACCCGCAAACCATGGTTCAGCCCCTCGCACAAAATTCCAGTTTGCGAGCGCAAATTACTGCACGCAAAATTGGATCTTGATAAATCCGGCCCTATGTCTCTCCCTCCCTGCTAAAATCCCTTGTGTCCTCTGTTGCAGTTCTTGCTCTTTTCATTTATTTCCATTTTCTTCTTTTTCTTTTTACCCACAGTTTTCCCTCTCATTTCTAACTCTTCCCTCATTCTTTCTCCCCTCTTTTGTTTCCAGTGGGACGCTTGCTGATAGAGTTTAGCTCCCAGATGACGATGGAGCGAGTGCAGAAGGAAAACCCAAACGTCACAGAGGGAGGCCGTTACAAGCCACCTGACTGCCGGCCAAGATGGAAGGTATTTGGATGCTTCTCTGTTTGTATTTGTTGTCTTTTTTTATTTATGATGTTGACAAGAATAATATAAAATGTGGTACAATAATCTAACCCCAAAAAAACAGTCAAAACTTGCACTTTTCATCTTTTGTTTTTCTCTGGTTTGTTTTTAAATGATTGAAAATGTTGAAGTCAATTGATTTTTTTATCAATATACTTTTTTTTATTCACATTAAAAAAAACTTAGTAATACACCTTATGTCAAAAATGATTGATGACTAATGACCTGACCTTATGACCTTTTGACCTCACCCCTCCCCCCTTCCGGTCCCCTCCCCCCCCCCCAAATGATTTATGACCCACCCCTCCCCCACAAATGATTTATGACCCACCCCTCCCCCCACAAATGATTTATGACTTATGACCTTTTGACCTTACCCCTCCCCCACAAATGATTTATGACCTTACCCCTCCCCCACAAATGATTTATGACTCTATCACCCACCCTCCTTCCCTAAGCTAACCAATGAAAATAGGAGGGTGAATTATATCCTCTTTAAATATTGCTGGGGAGAAAATTTTCTGTATTTTCAGCAAGAGAAAAACACTTACATTCCTACCGACAATGTCAAGAATTCCGAGAGCTATTCTTAAAAGCAGAGAATTACGCTCTGCATTGGAAAAAGAATCGGCGTTCTCTGAGCAGCTTGAAGTAGGTGTAAAAAACGAGATCCGTTTTTCTGCCTGCAAAGAAATGGAGGACGCGATGGGAGAATTCGGGATCGCATCTTTGGTGAAAGATGCTTCAACTTCGACAACCCTGGACGCTATGGAAGACTCTGAGACTGCGCTGTCTGTGAAAGATGCTTCAACTTCATTGACCCCGGACTTATGAACTATGAACTCTATGACCCACACCTGATCAGAGGAATTTCTTATAACCCTTTTATGACCCGTAAATTTCTGCACAGTCACGCACCATCACATTTTTGCTTCATCAATCAAATTCTTGACTATAAACATTGTTTTCTTCCCATTCAAAAAGATATGCCAGCTTCTCATCTGCCTTTCTTCTTTGCAGGGTAATAAAAAAGACAGTCCCCCACACAAGGAATTTCCCTCCCACCACCCATCCCATACACACGCACACACACTGAGCCCACAGACCCCTCAGCCTTTTCCCTCATAAGACAACAACTACACATTTTCCTAAAATTAGGCTTAAACATGTGTTTAAACTATTCCATTTCCACTAACAAATCTTATTTTATTTTAAATACAGATGTCCTTTCAGCAAGCCTCTGTTTTACTTTCTTAAACGGATTTACTCTCACAGATCAAGCTTTCTTTTGTGTAAAGACCATTGTTTAATTCATCATTAAAGTCTGTGTTACTCGCACAAACACAACTTGAATTGCTAACAAGTTTCCTTTTTAAAAATCAATCCAACTAACTTTTCTATCTGCAAAATCTGCTTTTATCATGCTTCAATGTATTCTCTCTATTTGTCTATTATTCTATGATCAGCCCCCAGAAACCTTAATAATCCATCCTTCCAGAAACAGTCATCCTTCAGCCCTCTTTTGTGTAAAGACCAATGTTTAATTCATCATTAAAGTCTGTGTTACTCACAAAAACACAAACACAACCGGAATTGATAGTAAGTTTCCTTTCTTTAATCAAACCAACTAACTTTTCTATCCACAGAAAACCTGCTTTCATCATGCTTCAATGTATTCTCTCTATTTGTCTATTATTCTATGATCAGCCCCCAGAAACCTTAATAATCCATCCTTCCAGAAATCAGCCAAGGTGTAAAACATTTGTTGGCTCCTTTCCCGTGCTGTAACAAGATACAGTTTAAAAAACTCACAACCCAGAACTTTCCCGCACTGTAAAAGTATTTTTCTATTATTCTTTAACAGCCCCCAGAAAACCTTCCTTTTTCATCCTTCCAAAAATCAGCCAAGGTGTAAAACATTTGTTGGCTCCTTTCCCGTGCTGTAACAAGATACAGTTTAAAAAAACTCACAACCCAGAACTTTAATTTTAAAAACAGACACCCATCCTTAAACTTTTCACCTTTTTCCTACACCCAGCCCATCAGATTCACACACACACGCACACCCACACACACACACACACACACCGCTGAGCCTACAGACCCCCCACCATCTTCCCTCATAAGACATCAACCACACATTTCCCTAAAATTAGTCTCACCGATCAAGCTTTCTTTTGTGTTAATGTTTAATTTAACATTGAAGCCCATGCATCAAGATTTACAAATCACTGCTATGTTTATAATATTTGTTAGTCACAAACACAACCTGACTTCCTCGTAGGTTTTGTTACTTAAAGGGCTTTAAAATGTGTTTATATTACTCTATACCTTTTCCATCCACAAAGCTTGCTTTCATTAAGCTTCTTTTTATTTTTCTAAATTAATCTACCGTCACTTTCAAACTAGGATACAAACATTACTATTCAACATGTTACATCCATAGTCTAGTCTGCTAGATATTGCAAAAAAGTAAAAAAAAACAAAAAACAAAATAAATGGAAAGCTCTCCCTAGTTTTTCAAAACATAACTTGATTACATCCATATCAGGTAGAAGCTTTTGCTTTTTTTTTTTTGTTTTACCTTCTTGGTTTTCAGAGTGAGAGAACCACAATCAGTTTAATAACAAAGAGAAGATCAGTGTTTTACGATGGAGTAGATCCGGTAAGATACGTGTTCTCTGGTAAACTGTAGGACCTCTGCATGGTGTTGACCACATCTATCTTCACAGGGCTCCTTTTGTCAGGATCAAATTTCCTTCTTTGCTGTTCATTTGAGGGGTGGGTGGAGTTAGGGAATGGACGTGTGATGTTTGGTTGCTGGGAAGTTGAGCCTCTAATGCTCGTAACTGTTTTTACCCTATGAAAGATTTGTGTTGATGAGAGCATGAACTATCAAACAATTAGAACTTTTGCTCTATCTGTTGTCTTCGCTTTGAAGCAGAGTTTAGGCTTCATGACATGTTTGTAAGTAAACCCTTTAAGTTATGCAAATACAAGGAGTCCATCTATGTGTGGATAATCAGCCTTCTGGGGCTAGTAGATGTCATCTCTGCAGCAGACCGTCTGAGGAGTAGAACTTTGAATATTTTCCACCCAGTTATCTGTTTTCTATACCCTACTAGCTTCTCCTTTCAGTCTTGTTGTAGAGTGAGTTCCTCTCTCTATCTGTCATTGCATGAAATGCAGGAAGCAGCCAGCGCTACTTGCTACTTCACTGCAATTTTTTAAACATATCTGCAGTTTACAAACCTCGTTTTGCAGTAAGATAATCTGCCTAAAACCTCGCTTTCATTTTTGAAAAAACGTCTTTTTATTTCGGTATTTATTATTTTTGTAATTAAAACCTATGGATTTAATTAGAATCCATAGGTTAATCACAAAATAAAAGTCAATAAATTTTTCTCCTTATTTTCAAATGTCCTTGATCTCCACCACACTCTTTTAACAGAAAACAAGAACGAACAAATAAATGTTCTGGTAATAATATCACACTTGGAAGAAAGTTTGTGGCTTAAAAAATAGTACATTTAAAACAACATCAACAACAACAAAAAAAACTCACAGAACGGACTGTTTCTCTTAGAACTTTTTCTGTTTATGAATTGACAGATTTATTTAGTTTCTAGCATCTAATAAGTAACTATGTGTTCATCACTTTACCGTAAAATTTTCTCTTTTTTTTATCTTTTCATATCGGAGAATTTCTTTTTCTAGCCCACTTTGGTAAACATCTACTTTTCATTTTCCTAACTTTTCTCAATACAAGCAAGCACAAAATAAAGTTTTTAGATAAATGCATTACTCTCTTGAAGCATTCTTTTGGAGACATACTAGTTTTAAATTTTTTAGCTGATACAAATCTAAAAGAAAAGCAAACTATTGCAGAATTATCCAATACTGTCTGAATCAAATGTTGGTTGAATGAACATGTAGGAAAACACAGCATTACTCACTATTATTTTAGTTTTAAAAAACGTACAAAAAACACTTTAGGAACAGATTAGTGGGACATTCACTGTACAGTAAAAATGTAAACCTAATATTAGAAACTGCACAGTTTCTACAGATGCTACAGCAGTATAGCTTAGATAACTTTTTTAGCAGTTGTTCAGCTTTCTGTCTCCTTGTTCAGTAGGTTGTTGTGGTGAACACAGTTGACCAACTGTGAAAAGTGTTGCAGGTTTTCTTTTTCATCTTGTTCCACTGCAATCTTTTTAGTAATCGTCATTTGTTGTTTTATTCCTGATACTTTAATTTTGCTTGTCTTTTTTTTTTTACTGAAGAAACTCCATATCATGACTAAAACAAAAATCAAACCAATCTCTCAGAAGTCTTAAACATCAATTGTTTCAGTGATCATACCATCATTTCTGTGTATAACTAACCAGTATACCGTAGTCATGTGAATATAATGTTTTTAATTGCAATTATTTGGGTTATATTCTTACGTTGAAACCATCATGTTTGTACTCTCTAATGCAAGTCTGTTATCAATAATGTAGGTAGTTAACCCATAAACTTAATATAACAACTGTGCCTAACCCTTTACCTAGAACTATATTGGTCAGCAGATGATAAAACCATGTAAAAAAAAACAAAACAAAAAACTACAAGATCGGGATTTCAGCTGTGTTGGATCCAGTAAACATTCTAGATTATAACTTTTACAGTATTCTACAAAGAATTGTATGACATCTTTTAACTAGATTTATCAGTGAACACTGGTTAAAAGGTTCTCCTCTTTGTAACTTGTAAGTGAATTACATCTCAGAATGCAATGTGATGAAAATCAAGTCACAATCAATAATCAATTGTATTATGAGTAATGCTTTTTATTAAGAGACCATTCATAAACAAGTATATTTCTGAGAAGACCTTTTACCCTACATTGTGTGCTGGTGCTCATAAAACCCAACCCCCACCTCTGCTGTAGATCCTCACTGCTTGTTCACACTTTGCTTCATCTGCAGGCTCAAGTCTGCTCTGCATACCCCCCAACCAAACTCTATTTTCTTTTAAGTTTGTTTGCATTTTTGTTTTTCATGGTTTGTTGATGTACAAAACTTTACTTTTTCTTATTACTGAAAATGCGCTATAGAAATAAACCGGCCTCACCTTAAACCTCCTGGTCCTGAATCTGGGCTATTCAGCCACGGGCAGGAAAATCAGCTGTTTCACAAAAGCTTTTGGTTGGACCAGCACCACAGAGCTATAATGTGAACAGTTAGTTTCCTGGTAATGCGGCTGTTTTTAATGCTTTGAAAAGAACAAGGCTATGGTCATCTTGAGTTACTTAATCACCAAACCATATATAAGTGTTTTGTTGTAGAGCATCTGCACTGCATTGGTCTACAAAATAGACCTTTTTAATTTCTCCTATAGCCCACACAAATTTTTTTGCGTTAAACCTAAGATAATGTTTTGTGCTAACAATAGGGAAACCATAGTTGTTACAACTAGAACTATAGATGAATTGGTGCCAATTTCAAATTTTAATTTTAGTGGAACCTTGTTTTCCTTGTCAGGCACAAGTATTTTTTTACTTGTAGGTAAATTACATCTCATAATCTAATGTGGCGAAAGTCAAGTCACAATCAATAATCAATAGTATTAAGAGTAATCCTTTCTATTAAGATTCCATTCATAAACAAGTATATTTCTGAGAAGAACTTTTACCCTGCATTGTGTGCTGATGCTCATGAAAACCAACCCCCACCTCTGCTGTAGATCCTCACTGCTTGTTCACACTTTGCTTCATCTGCCGGCCCAATTCTGCTCTGCATACCCCCCAACCAAACTCTATTTTCTTTAGAGTGACCTTTGACCGTGCT